AACAGGAGCCGTGTGCAAGGAAGCAACAGGAGTCCCTAGCCAGGCTGAGCCGGGGGCGTCTTTGTGCCAACCTTCCGGTCACGGCACTCCACAAAAAATTGAAAGGGTCTGGCATGATACCTTCGGCTGTGGATCCCACTCAGGTGGTCGCTGCGATTTGCTGCTTTTCGCAGAACCCGCCTCGCGGCGAAACCCATTCTTCGTGTGCACATGTAGCAGCAATGTAGCAGCATCTTGGTAAGGTCCAAGTCGAATAACAGAGACAAGTAAACCGAGGCGATTGCATCAAGGACTTTTGGCTCGTCTTCGATGGCTTTTTGATGGCAGCCACAGTCGTCGAGCTTGGGCCTTAAGCTCCGCTGGCCATGTTCTGTTGCCCCTTGGAAATCCTTGCTTGACGAGGACATGGCTCATGCAGTTCGTGCTTTGGGCAGCTGGAGGCTCAGGAACACTAGCTAGCCCAGTACTTGTTTTGGGTGAGCTTTATTGTCCGATCATGTCCAGCGCTTTATTCTGTCGTCTTTCCTTGACATCAGATGCTCTCCGTCTGAGGCCGGCCTCGAGGAAGGAAGGCAGGTTGCCTTAGTCAGTGTTTGCTGCAGTGAATTTCTGTCATGTCTCTTTGGCTGCGCTTCTGTCAGTAGATTTGTACTTACGTTTGTGTCTCTTCCTCTCCCTCTCTCCCTCTCTCTCCCTCTCTTGCTGTCTGCATGCATCGCCAGGTATCGTGTTGTGCTTTAGGGTTGCTGCATCGCGGATAGCAAACGGGTAATACCAATGCAGACACTCTATGTTTGTAAGTGCTGCGCGTGTGTTTGCACCCAGGCATGTATGTTTGAGTACATGTGCTGTGATACCCTTTAGTTTGATGGCCTGCCATCTCGGCTGTTGACCATGGCCTGCGATATCGGTTCAACAAGACATGTTGGTTTGCATGAGGTCCAGCTGGTATGTAGTGGAATTAGTGGATATATCGTGGAGTGTGTGCCGGCTGGCTGAGACCATAAGTTCTTGCGGCACTTGCTTTTGTGTGCTCTGCACAGGTCAGAGAGCAGCAACATGCAGCTTGGCACTGTTTTATGTACTGCCAGATGAAGAAGCAGCAAGCAGTCGCGCTGTAGAACTGACTATGTGCGATATGTGCTTAGATGTGTCATTCCGAACTGTGGCAGATCAAGTTGGGTTCGATTGCACATTGCGATGTTCCGTGCAATCAGCCCAATCTCATCGTAGATGCGTGGATCTGTATTGTGCCTGTAGCATGGATCGATCCTCACAACTTGCCGTGCATAACGAGAGACACTTCCGAAAGGTGCAGAAGCCGCAGAGAAGATTGCGGCTATATGAGAAATACGCAATATAGCAGCAGCACAGATTGACATGAAACAAGCAAGATCCTAATGTGCACAGACATATGTGTGCGCACGTCAATACTTATACCTCTTACAGCAGTCCCTTCTGCATTGCTGTATGTGTGTGTGTGTGCGCTGCTGATATCATGTTTTTCGGCTTGTTGGATCGAGGCTTCGTAGTGATTTCAATCCATCTGCGGATGTTTTCCTCGTAGTTCTCCATCTAGACCTTCGACATCCTTCGACGGCTGCCCACAACAACATTCCCACGCCAATCTGAGGATTCGAATAGTGCGCCTCATGCGCATTGTACGAATCGCCCGCATCGCCAGGCTTTGAGCTCCGTCAATGAAGCCACCTATAGTTGTTTTTGCTCGCAAGTGCGTTCGAGGTTCCGCTAGCTTGAAAGAGCGTAGGTAACAGCATTCAAGACTTGGTGAAACTGCATGCTGACAGGGTGCTCCACATGGTGCCCGAGCTGTTGATACTCGTCAAAGCTATGGCCACAGCCTTAGCAACCGGAAAGCTTTTCAGTTGAACGAGGCAGCCTCCTCCGCCGTCTCATCTCCGAGATGTGAATATGACATTCAGAAACTGTCGGAAGGTTGTCGCAATGCGAGCCGTTTTCTTCTCAGTCACACTTTTGGTCCTAGTGCCTGGGCCTCAGAGGGCATCGATGCTGCGTGCCCGGGGAGTGGAACCGTTTGAGAAGTTTCGCTGCAGTTGGCTTTCGAGCCCGGCCGGACAAGGCTCTATGTCTTCGGCATAGTCTTCACCCAATTGGCACGTGATGCCGCTCGGGCAGAGGCGGGCAGAGGATAAGTGCACAGCAGACCTGTGGAGTCGTCACGAGATCCGATCTGGGCCGCCGTATTTCGCAGGGACCTTGACGACAAGTGGACAGTATTTCGCTCTCCTCGCAGACCTACTTCGCGACGGTTCCGGACTCGATGTCCACGCTGCTCTTGAATGGAATCTTCCTGGTGTCTTGGGCGCATCTAGGGGGAGGCACACAGCTTCCAAGATTCCCTTGCCCCTCGCCTCAGTGACTGAAGGACAACGTTGGAAGCGTCGTGCGGGACATCGGTCGCGACAACCTGCTTTTCAGCGCACTTTTCATGGTGTCGCCCGTCAGTAAACCTTGCGATCGGTGATCAGCTTCAAAGTTCCTTCAACAAAAAGAGCCCGTTTGAAAGGGACTTTTTTTTGCATTGATGACGGCAGAGGCGCGGTGTAGGGTCTGCTCCATGCAAGAAGGTTTGTGCTGGTCGCCACGCTGACTGTGATGAATATGCTGGCAGCAGCCCGAGCTTCCAGCATGGCCTGAACTCGCTTATTGTCTTGCCGGACTTATGGGCTGCAGGTCGGCATACTCGTGGAGGTCATTAATGTCATTGCATCGGTGGAAAAGGCCATAGCTTGCTTTTGCGGCAGGGGTGACATGTTCCTGACAAGATCTCCTGCCTACTGGTAGCGTTGTCATGGAAGTAGCAAGTTTTCGCAGGAGCAGATCATGGTCCAGAAGGTCCAGGAGAAGCTAGAACAGGCAGCCGCACGTACATCGCTTCCACAAGAAGGAACAGCTTGTAATCTCCTTGACCCTGTTTGAGAGGTGATGGATATAGTTGGCCTGCCAGGAGCCCGGGTGCGCGCGTAGAAGCAGGTGCTAGCGCAGGTGTTTTGTGAGGTCTCCACGCGCATACTGTGCAAAGCCAGATTTGGGCGGGCAACTTGCTCAGGTCTCCGGACGACCGGCTGACACGGTGGGTGGCTAGGCTGCACGATGCTGCACGTAGCTTCACTGGCAGACCGGTCGCAGCATCGAATCTGCAGAAGATGCATGCCGAAGTTTTCTGTGTGTAGGGTGGGCCTTCATGTGTTTTGTCCAAACGAAATGTGCGACACAGCTCTTCAGGAGTTTCTGCAGCTCATCCAGCAGCCCGAAGCGGCGCGGATCCTTCAGGACTTTCACAATGCTGTCTTGGTCACAACCAGCTGATTGTGCACCACCAGGACGTCGGCGTGGACGCAGTGCCCCGGCACAAATAAGCGATCAGCCTGCAGAAAGCCCCCTCAGCTGGAAAGGTGGGCCTCTTCGACTTCGTCGGTGTGATCTTCCCAAACAATCACGCAACCATCACGTTCCCAGCGCTGATGCAGGTGTGAGAGTCGTCTCAGATCATTTGTTGTTGCTCGTGCTGCTGATGCTTGCAGGTCGTGCTGTCACTGAGGGGGAACAATTTGGCAACCGTCGAAGCCTCGGCACTGAGTGCACCGGAGTCCAACGCACCTTAAGGGACACATTCTTCTTGCCCGTCGCTGAATCGAGGCTTCACTTTGGATCCTCAGTATACGGATTCGGTCACACGGAAACTCTTGCCATTTCTTGTCATGCATTTGTTTGAAGAACCTCGGAAAGATGCCATGCTTAACGGGACCAGAAGGCAGTGGCCAAGAGCAATGAGCTTGTACGAGGTCAAAGATCTCGTCGACTTGCGCAAGTGCCACTCGGACCGCATCACAGCCTGGCCATCATCCTTCGCCAGTCCTTTGCCCATGCCAGCTGCGCAGGCTTCTCACAGAATCTCACGCACCTTGAGCAAGCACCTGCGCGCATGTGTGTTCGGAACTGCAGCGATCTTCACCGCAAAGGTCTGCACACACCTCCACGATTGCCAAATGCAAGAGTTGAACTGGCACCCCTCCAAAGTGTCCCCAAACAACATGCGAAGAACAGTCATCACTATCACACATACTCAGTGCTCAGGCCTCCTGGCTGAGCTTGCTCGATTTCCTGCCCTCTCGGGACGCTGAATTGCGAGTTTTGAGAGCTTCGATTCGCCCTTAGTCGGCGCATGTCGGCGCTTCAGCCAAGCTGCAACGACGCTGCGGCTACAACCACCGGCCACCCAGCTTCCGCCAGTAGACAGAACTGTGGAGGGAAGTTTTGTGAGAAGCACCCAGACTAGGACAGAGCTGGGACCGCTGGTGGTCCGTTGGAATTCGTGGCAATGCCTCCTTTGTGCGAATTTGTTCATGCTCTCGGGATGCCTGCCCGGAAAGCCTTGATAATAGTCCTTGAGCCGCGACCGACGTTCGAAGAAGTTCCGATATTTTCCGAGCTTCAAGACTTCCAGCGACGTTGCGGCTCTCTAGTAAGAATTCACAAGCCATCTGCGAAGCAGAGGTGGAAATGTAAGAGACACACTGCCTCCTGGACAGACTAGGAATTTTCTTGCAGAAGAAGGCCCAATATCAGTCTGTGCTTGTACTGCTACAGCTCATATTTGTTCATGTCCATCTCATGATGCCCGATGCCATCGGGACGGGTCAATGAACGGGCGAGTGCGCAACCGCATACACCGCCTGGCGGTTTCACTGCCTGACGGACAGCTGTCGCTTCTCCTCCAAAGCACAAGTGGAGACTGGCAGCAGAACTTTTTACAGTGCCAACTGCTTTGGACTTCACCTGAAGGTGCAGAGTTAAGAAGAATTGCCTGCCAGTCTTGCATGTCAGCATCCCCTTGAGACGCTTGTTGTCAAGTTGTTTGCTCTTTCAAGCATTGTACCATGTCGATCCATGTCGAAGCCTCGAGAAAAGACATGAAGCGCTTTTGTTGCTTGTGCAGCCGCAACCTGTCAGCAAAGGCGGGCTGAAACACTTCGCTTGCGGCAAAGGGCTCACGATCTTGAAGAGGAGACCGAGGCGCTGCTTTGCGTAGCGCGGGGCACTTCTGGATTATGGCCCTTCTGAGGGTTGGCAGTCAGCACTCGAGCAGACTCTTCGCTTCCGTTAGAGCAACTCCCACCTTCTGAATCCCGCGTTTCTGCTGGTCGTGTCAGAAGGTGAAGCTACAGGCAACGGCGCAGCAAGCCCGCGACGAGGTTGGCAGGTTTTATTCTAAGACAGATGACCGAAATGCGGTGTCGACTGGAGTCTTTAGTGTTTCGCCGCGCCGTTCCGGGCTGTCCGTCTCGAAGTGGAGGCGCAGGAGGCTCACTTGCGGCGCATCTTGGGAGAGGCAGGAGCTGTGCGCATCTCTGCGCCACGACTCGAAGACTGAAAGTGACTGAAAGTATATTTAATATATATAATATATGTATATGTATATACATATATGTATATTAATGTATATCTATGTATATGTATTATATATAGATAATATGAAAGGCTCAGCAGACTGAGCTCGGCCTGGAGATGCGTGGCTTTGAGCAGCCTTGGGACTCAGCGACCTCGCAGATGGGCCGTCCAGCCGAGGCTTTCCTATATCCATATATTATATATACATATATATATAATGTTAGTCACAGGGTTTAGGGTATCTATATAATATATATATATATAATGTTAGTCACAGGGCCGCGTGGCAAAGGCCTTTTTGAGCTGAGCCCAAGAGAAATATAAGCTGAAAATGGACGGTTGGTCAGGGACCCTGATAGATCCCTGTACCGTACAGTCATCGACTTGTGAGATAGTTTCATGTCATCCTTGTCACTGAGGCGTCAGGCGCTGCAGTTCTAGCCTCAGAGTGCTGAAGAGGTGATCTGATTTTTACAAACTCTTCCGGTAGTATACAGGAGCGCTCTAAAGCAAGGGATTTCACGTGCACTGTATCTGGCCCGGAGAGAAGGCCCACTGTGTTTTCTCACGCGCTCGAGGTAACGTTGGAATTTGTTCGACATTTGGACTCTGGACCTGAATGCATTTTCCCGGTGTGCGCGGTGCAGCTGACAAGCAACATGGACAGTTGCACGTTTTCATCTGCAATCGTTTGACTACACATGTGAAGAAGCATGTATACAGGCGCATGCATTACATGCTGTATATAGACTTCACACCTGCACCCGAGATCAGCCAGTCAGTCAGTCAGTCAGTCCACCTGTCCGTATGTATGTATGCATGTATGTATGGAGGTATGTAGGTATGTAGGTATGTAGGTATGGTATGTATGGTATGTATGGTATGTATGGTATGTGTGGTATGTATGGTATGGTATGTACGTATGTATGTACGTATGTATGTAGGTATGTATGTAGGTATGTATGTGTGTAACTGTGTGTAGCTGTGTGTAACTGTATGTATGTATTCGCATGCTCTGCCATACACGTACATGTCGCCAGCCTCATTGGCTCTGCCTTCTCACTTGCAAAGGCGGAGAAGTGAGCGCGTTGCATACTTGCGTGGGGGCAAGAAAAGTCGCGGCCCGCGAGTTTGGAACGGAGGGCCAGAAGGGTTCAGGCGCAGACGGATGTTTCAGCTGCCCGAATATCGGAGCAGGAATACGACATGCTGACTTTCTAAGCCGTTCAGTGTCCTACTGGTAGGGCCCGTTTTTGAGCTCAGGTCGGGTTTCATGTTTTGGTTCGTTGTGGAGTCGTAGAGGTTGGTAAGGATGGAAGCATGGAGGACAGAACTCTGCCACCAGTTGTTTTAGGGACGGCCGACCGTGGGTTTGGTCGCTCAGCGCATGTTGCTATTCGCAACTGGCCTCTGGCTTTGCCAGCTTGTAAGCAGCAGAAAATCACGATGATCTTCCGAACCAGACCGGCCCACTACTGATGCTTTAGGAACGAGAAGGTGGTCTTTGCAATCACAGATAGCACACGTTGTTGTCGAACGGACATCACATCCTTCGCGCGAGCTCCGAAGCCGCGAGCTTTTTGTCCAGCACCTCGACAGCCGAAGCTTCGAAGAAGGGGACAGGAGGACACGAGGGCAGCTTCCTAGCCTTCGATGATTCAGCCTTGTGTTGATTCTGGAAAGCCGGAAGGATCTGGGCTCCGAACCTTGTAATTACGTGGGTTTCAAGTTCGAAGTTACAAGCTCAAACGGAACGGAGCTCCCAGGCATCATGGCAGCGGCTCAAAACAACTTCTTCCTTTGGGGCACCTGGAAGAACAGGCGAGGCCCGCCGAAAGAGGCGACCGTGATGTAGGCCATGACCAGAACCTGCTGGCAGGGTGATCTCGAAGCCCTTCCTCACCAAGAAGGTCGGACCCTTGATTCGGTGTGCAGTGGTACAAGACTACGACGAGCTTGTGTCGGTATGTCCGGAACGTTTGATCGTCGAAACACATCATGTGACACCATGCTCTTCGAGGTGGCACAGCAGCTTAAGAAAGTCGCCGGCAGCTCAAGAAGCTCTGGAGTGTTTAGACCAATTTGGTCATCAAGTCTCTCTGTCGCATGTTCATCCTGTGCAGTGCAGGTCCTTGGAGAGAGCTTCGTCATCGGCCTCACCGAGAATGGCAAGGTGTGACGGTGTGACGACTGAGATTTTTTGTCTAAACACACAGCAGTCTGGGGAGCTTTTTGCCAGGTCGTCTCCTGGGGCAAGGATTTGAAGAGCGGATGTCTTGGCTTGGGTCCGGAACACAGCCATTATCAGAACGAACTAGACTGACAGGTATTGTAGGAGCGAAGACGATGGCCATTAAGGTTTCTCAGAGGACACCGGAGCGCCGGTGATGAACCAAGACGTGCCTCAAGAGGTCCGAATGGGGACGGAGAGCCGAGCCCTTCGAAGCGCAGGGGAATATTCACGAACCGTAAAACCACGATCCTCCCCGCAGGGAACTGACATGAGCTGTCCATTTCCATTCACTGAGCTTGACTGGGCCGTGACACAAATCTCGGACTGTTGCACGCAGACTACTCTGCACCGGAAGCCACTTGATCGTTGAAGTTGCGCACCCTGACCGCAGATTGCCTCGCTCAAGGAGGTCGCCGACTTAGCAACAATAGATGTGATTCGATCTCAGACGCAGGGAAAAAGTCAATGCTGGGTTGCATTTCTCTTGTTTCATACTATCCATGTTCACCCTTCCGGCCGGGTTTGAGACAGCGTTGCTGGGGACAAAAGGGGCAGTCGCATGTGCTCAGCCTTGTTTGCCCGTCGGTCTGTCTGAGGTCATGGACATCCAGATGGGTACAGAGCATGTTGTGGCACTAACTACAGGGGGGGAGGCGCGGACCTTGTGATGCTCGCTTTGGAAAGAGGTGATCTCTGTGTTCGCAAGATTATTTGCCCAGGTCTTCTGCTGGGGCACCGGACAGAAGGGCCAGCTTGGCAACGGCAACCAAAACACATCATACATCCCTTGCAAGGCTGGGCAGGTGCACTTGTGAGGGGATCCTGAATAATCTTGAGCCCGAATCCGTGCGCGAAACATTTCGCTGGAGTGCCGTCATTTCCTCATTTCCTCAGGTAGATGCCCTGGCCAACGAACAGATCGTCCAAATCGTAGTGGTGAAGCCCGATTCTTAGCAGCTGCAGACATCCCTGGTCTTTGAGCCACTTGCGCCCACTGTTTAGGAACTCGACCTTCGCACTGTCCACCAACGGCACAGTCTTCGGCTGGGGTGAGAACAAGGACTGCAGCCGTGGACATTCAGCGGGAGCATGGCCACCCCAAGCAACAACCAAGACGACTACCCGGCTTGGAGAGCGTGTCTCGCTTATTGCATTACCGATGGTGATACTGTCTGATGCTGTCCGGCTTTGTCAAAGGCGTTGTCAAATCCGCTCACTTGCTCTCGGACTGCAGACATTCCACACAACTCCCACATTGAGGGCACGTCGTATTTCCGACATGCGTCTATGCCATATGCTCTTATCGTTTCTTATCATGTCAAAGCGAGCCAGGACAATATCCTTGGTTTCGAGGACGAGACAGCGAAAAAGCAGGCCGCTGGACTGACTGAAGGACAGAGATGGTCGCTGGCATGAGCCAGGCATGTCCTTGTTGAGTAGCTGGCGTGCATGTGTCGGATTGTTCGTTGGCATTGGAAGCCACAGCCTCTGCCTGCCGACATGCCCCTCTCGCAAACTAAGATCGCGGAATGGCCCTTGAAGCTGACTCTGCTCCAAGAGAATCGGGCACCTCGGAGCAAAAAGCCGTTGGTACATTGCACGCAACGTTTCAAAAGGCTTCAGGTGCTGCAATTGCATCCTGCGCACAGGCTCGTACAGGCCTCCATGTCGTTCAAAAAGGTTCGTAAGCTCCGGAGACTTTTGGTGTGCGGTCAAGGATTGCTCTTGTCGTGGAGCTCTGGGGTTGTGTCAGCTGCTGGAGCCAAGCATTTTTAAATTTCAGTACGTGTCTTAGCTTTGCAGCACCAATATTGAATGATTCAACGTCAAAGTTGGAGGTACGAAAGCTGGAGGTTTTCGATGGCAAGACCATCATCGCTCACATTCGTGTCCATGCCCCAGGCTTCGCATGTCCACGGGCACGAGCCTTTGAAGCGTCCTGTGCTCTGCAGCAGACCTAAGTTCAGGTCCGGAAAATAACGTGCCCAAAACAGGGAACGAGATGTTTGCTTGCACAGTGGGCGGATGTACGTCTGCCAAGTGCCTGCCCCATGGGGCTCTCCTACCGCAGACATGCAGTCGGAAAAAGGTGTCCCAAAAAAAGCCCCCTATTCCAGAGTGCTCACAGGACTTGAGATGCGGATTCGTCACATGCCCAGGGCCAAGACAGCGAGACGACGTTTGGCCGCTTTGAGACGATGCAAGAAGACGGCGGCCAGGAGAGACTGGGGGGTTTTAGTCCACGGCCTTCAGCGGTTTTTTGGCAGGGAGCAGCGCAGATCAGGCTTGTCATTGTCAAACTTCCAGACTTTAAGTGTACACCCCTAGGGAGTTGCAGCACCTGGCAACAAGGAGGAAGAGGAGGAGATCGAGATCTTTAAGGGCATTGATGAAATGCGCAAGATCATGGAAAAGACTCAGGCCGCCACGGGTCCCGGGGAAAGCTTTGAACCCAAAGGCATTACTTCGTTTTCATCACCGTCGCGAGATGATGACCAACCATGATTGCTGCTAGAAGTGCGCTGAGCGGATCTCAACCCATGCTCCTGTGTCGCTGAACCGATCTCTACCCATGCTGCTGCGTCGCAGGTTGTTTGATGCAGTTTTCAGCTGCAGCTGATCGTGTAATCGCTGTGCAGGAATAGGCATGATATTCTTTGATGGAGGCACGCACGGATCACGGAAAGATCAGCTTCACTCTTGCAACACGCAACAGAACCGGCGGGGTGCTGAAATCTCTTAAGCCCACACAGCAAGCCCTACAAGTCCGGCTAAGTCACAATGCCGCTGCGCTGCTTTAGTGGTGGGAGAGTAAGAATCCAAAAGCGATGATGCGGTGTGGCACGTCGCGACGAGTTGGTGTATGCTGTGCATCATCGCTCTGTTCGCAGTGTGCATGGATCTCGCGTGATCCTTGCCTGCTTGGTGCAAGAGTGATTCTCGAAACCCAGAACAGCCGCAGACCCTGAATATCCCTGAATCTTGAATGCCAGGAGTGGTGGAATCACCTACTGAACATCAAGCATGGTCAGCCCTACGACCTCCCGCAGGATTCTCACATCGTGGCCGGCCCGCCGAGTTTCAGTGGCTCTGAAAAGACAACAGGACATGGTAATGGTCATCTGACGGTACTACCAGTACCATGCATATTACACACATAAATATAAATAGATAAATAAATAAATATAAATATGTATATATATATATATATTTTTTTTCATAATCTGGTCAGCTGTTTCTCCATGCCGGCCAGAACAACGACAAGCATCCTGACAAGCCGGGGGCGACCATCCATGATGCCGGACACCCAGGAAGCAGGAAGGGCACGGCCACGGCGTGAGCCTTTTGAACTGCCCTGGTGCCTCCTTGCCTCGGAAGTGTTCTCGTTTCGAAATGATCGCTCTCAAGCTTTCGTGTCGTTGTGTCTGCGGATTCTAGGCCTAGTCCTCGAATCGACTGATGCACTCCTCAAGTCCGTCTGTTCTGACAGTCAGCCTCGACCCGTGACTGACCCTGACCTGAGCATGGCTAGTCGTACACTCAACACGGAGGTGCCCTGGAAGTATCGCCGGAAATGGAAAGAACGTAAGAGAAACGATTAATGATCCTGATACTCACAAGAGTCACTAGAGATAGACTTAGATGAACTGTTGAGCGCCGTTTGAGCAATGCAGTGTTTGTCGGTAGCAGCACGCCTCCTCGCAATCTCATCAGCCCAGTTGGACACGAAGCCTTCGGAGAGCCGATGGCATCTTCAATCCCCCCCAAAAAAACTGATACCCGAAACATCCCGAAACCGCTTCCCATGTTGCCAAGGATCTCGAGGCCAGGCCCGGACTCGTAGATGCGATGGCTTGATGAAAGTTACATTTGGTGCGCAACGCTGAGCTGTTTCTGGCCCTTTTTCGTATCCGCTTCCGCCACAGATGGAGTGCCATTGAAGAACGCAGCAGAGCAGAGCAATGTGGTATGCTCATGAATGATAGTTAGCACATCTGGCACTATGAAATACAGTGTCAGGGGTGCGGGCAGGGTCCAGAGCAGCATGCTTCAACGGCTTGTTTCAAGCTCTACCTCGGCCAGATTCGGCCAGGTTGAGCCTGAGCGTCTCCACCGAGCGGAAAGGCCTGGTTCACTTAGGTGAGGGGTTTCATTCCATGGACAATGGAGCTGTCGCATCGGAGTTGTTAAGACACACCTTTCATCATGGCTGATTTGCAAGTCACTTGGAGCAGAGCCTAGCTTCGGCCCTTCGGAAGGCATCTGGACGCCTTGGTCACGGCGGCGGTGACAGAACTCAAACGGACGCAGCAGATGCCAGGGACGAGGACGATTGTGCCAGGTTACAAGTCTGTCAACGTTGTGCACATGGGCTGCATGGGGTGCAGGGGTGCAGGTCTGGGAAGTGCCCATGTGATTGAAGACGTCTCGATGAGCATGGTGGCCACTGATCTCTGCCAGGAATGTACGCTTCATCCTTTGCATGTTCATTGACGAATGCCGTCTGAGAAGAGAAAAGGCCTGCCGTGACGTAGTTTTGGTGTTCAGAGCTTGCAACACAGGCGTGGTCATAAATCGTTGGCTTGGTGCAGATTGCAAGTCCGCATGTCATGCGGCCGAAATGTGGTTGCACATTTTCAGTGGATTTGAGTGGCTTCAGTTCAGGTTATGCTGGGTGATTGTGTATCCGAGAATAAGTCAGTGGCCTCTTACATTACATGACTGTTGGCTGTGGACGTCTCATGATCGTGGTGGATTCCTGCCAGTAAACTCTGGCTTGTTGTGCCACCAATGTGCAGAGGTACAGCGCACGATTGCAGCGCGCCAGCTGAAGGACGCCAAAGCAAAATCCAAAGAGATTGTGGCGTGCCCTGTCGTATGCATTGTTGTCTGCGCGTGTCAGAAGGTTCATCAGTTGTCCAACCCAGTTGTCTCAGAAGCAGCCGCCTCAAACTTCACATGGATAGCGTAAGACGTAATGACGTAATGCTCAAGAGTAGAAGGCGATTCGCATGTTTCGTTTTCCGACCGGCAGAGGCAACCTGACCCGAGAGTCGAGTTAACTCTTCATGGGCTGCCACAGCAGGAGACCTCCCAGGAAATGAGAGCAAGCACCCCTTGAGAAAAGACTGCAGAAGTTGTGCATTTGACTGGCGGCTGTCGAAGTCTTCCGACAACAGCCTGCACAAAAAGCAGCACATGACAGCTGTGGGAGGGTGCGTTCCAGGACAAGATGGCGAAGGCGTCGGCACCAAAGCCCCAAGGTGCAAAAGCCAGCGATCAAAGGATTGCCTGCGAAGACCTACGCTGAAGCATCCGAAGCAAGCCCCGGCCGAGTCTGGTCCCTTCACGAAAGGCTTATCAAGTGCAGCTGCGAAGCGCTCCGACTTGTCTCCAATGGAGGTGTTGGATTAAATCCTTAGCTGCGATGAAGGGAAGCCCAACTGTGGAGACGAAGGCAGGGGACAAAGCGTCCGGTCCCCGCCAAGCCGCCCGTGCCGGACGCAGTTCCTCGCAGTGCATCGTGTGCCGTGCTGCAAGAAGCGGTTTCGGAATCATCGTGGAGAATCTTCTAGCCAAGACACTGGTGATGAAGAGGACACCAGATGCATCGATGTAACCGATATTCCGAGTTTTTGACTCGTGGATCTAAGCATTGTGGGGTTGCTTCCAGGATTCTAGGGACATGCAAGAAGGACATGGAAGTACGCAAGTAAAATGCGGCACGCTCTCGTAAAGTGTCTTCCACCAGTGAGACAGTGCATCTACAAGTCCGTGGGCTACATGGTGCCGCGACGTCGCAGCAGTCAAAAAGGTAGAAAGGCTCCTTGCCACGGTCGTCGCGCTGTCGTTGTTGATTCAAAACCTGTTCGGGCCGTGAGCGAGAGGAAGTAGCACAGTGGAGTTTCCGTATCATTTTGTATCATTCTGTAATATCCTTTGGTGCTTGTGTCCATCCAGTGTCCGTCCAGGTATTCCGTGAAGGACTTCAGTTCCAACGCGAACGAAAGCATAAGAAAAATCATCGCCGTGACAAAGGCGCGCCGGCTGAACTCGCAGCAGACTGCTGCGTCGATGATCCATGTATAGGAATGTGACTTTTGGGGACAAGGATGGCTGGCTTCTTATCTGCCTGCTTGGTCAGAACCTTCAGCAGATGCTGGACGCGGTAAAGACAATTCAGCCGGTGGACGTGCCGAGTCAAGAGCTGAAGGCACTCAAGTTGAAAGTTCTTGTGTCCGCTTTACTGTTCTCGGCTGCTCTTTTCGAAGGCATCGAGGCCGTCGTTTACAGGGCTGCAGGGCGCAAAGGGGTGTTCCATACTCACGCAACGAAGGCGACGCTGGTGGAATGCCTGGAGTGCAAGCTTCAGCTCCACGACAACCAGGTTGAGCTCCTGAAGGCACAGTGGCACTTCATTTGACTTGATCTTGATCCTGATGTCCTAGCCCTCGTTCATCACGGCTGCCAATGTGTCGTTCTCAAGTAATCTTCAAAATTGACAGTTTCCTCCTTCGGTATTTGGGCACATAAAATCTCGTCTTGGACATGTACGGAGCGGGCCGATTGACTCGCAAGTGGCTTGAAAAGCAACCTACTCACTGTTGCTCAAGGGACTTGTCTACTTGACGAAGCAGATCACTGAGCAACATGACCCTAGCGGCCGAACCACGTTGACACCACGCTACCCCCATGAAGTACGGTTCAACACGGCCATCGATTCCATGCGCTCGAGCTGTGCAACAGATGTCTGCTGGCCGTGCATTTTTCGGAGTCGGGGGCACCTTGGCGCTGTTCCTTGGCGCCGCATTCCAAAGGCCGGAATGGTTTTACCGACCTGGCTTCGAAGCTGCCGACTATGACTATGTGCGCAAGGAGCTTTCATGTCCAGACGTTCGCCTGGCAGATCTCGACCTGCCATGTTTGTCTCTGCCAAAGACAAGTCTGGCTGACTTCGAGCGCCAGGGCTTCCTGATTCTGCGACAGGCGTGGATTTGGGAAATGTATGTGCTGGAGAATTTTCGCGAGAAGTTATCCTGGCACCCTTCGAGACCTCAGGCCATTCCACTTGAAGCTGTGCATCGACTCTTCCGAGAGATTCAGTGCTTCGTGGCAGTGCGTAGGGCCGACTCCTGTTGCGAAGCTGGTTCAGGGCTGGATTGCATCAGCATCTGGGATATTCAGGACAGGTTCTTCATGACAACAGAGTGTGTGCAGGATGTCTATGCAGCACAGCAAGGGGCTTGAGTGGTTCTGTCTTTTTGGTGCTCCGAACACCCATGCAGGGACAAGGGTCCTGTTCCTGAGGCTTTTTGCAGCCACGGGTGTTATCCGACCGACACCAGTGGGCGCCTTCGTCGCAGAAAGTCGCACTCACCCGGAATGAGACGGCAGCCACGGATAGCAGCAGCAAATGACCCCTTAATGTGCAGAATGCACTTTCGACCCCAGTATAGCAGTAGCACACACCAGATCACGAAGAGACGACTCTTGTTGTGTCGGTCAGGCAGTCTCAGCCCGCAATGTGTGGATGGATTCGGAGGCATTCGCGAGCTTCGTGCTCCATGCCCTTCAAGCCGCAATGCCTTGTCTTTGCAACTGCTCGCGCGCACATGTTCACAGCCCAGCCCACAGAAGCCAGACTCGGACCTCTGAGGACCAGAACCCCTTGGGATGCCTGGCAGCGCAGCTCCTCGGAGCCAGCACGGTCCGCTACGGCAGCGAGGCGCACGATCGTGCCACGGTTCTTGCCTAGTCACCGAGTCCTTGCAGAGGCTGTGAATATGATTCGTCCGGGCCAGACCGGAGCCAAGACATGGCATTTCGACGTCCAGAGCAGCTCTACTGCAGCAGGGGGAACCACCACAAGCCCCCGCCCCCACTCACCTTCATTTGGAGCACGCTTGCTCGAACCCGTCAGGCAACCTCCGACTCGAGCAATCACCGCGAGGTGCCATTGAAGTCCGCTTTGTGATACGTGGAATGCACAGGCAGAAGTATGTCTTGCATAACATGCTTGTTTCGATGTCTGGCCTAGCGGGCACTGGACATCGTCGTCGCCGTCGTCGTTGTGGTTGTGGTTGCGGTGGTTGTGGTGTTTGTTGTGGTTGTGGTTGTAGTTGTGATTGCTGTTGTTGTTTTTGTTTGTACCTTGTTGGTACAGACAAAACTAGAAACATTTGGGAATGCTTCCGGCGACCGCAAAGGGTGCCTGTAGAGGTTTGGGGAGTGCAAGGCATGGTTTACACAGCATCTGCGCCATGATAGAAATGCGGCGTAGGCTAGGTGAGTGGCTGGGTGGTTGTTGCAAAAGGGGGGGTCAAAGCAACAGACTCTACTCGTAAACTAGTAGCAGCAGGTAGAGAGACGGGCCCCATTGAAATCAGGACTTTGTCTCTACCTGCTGGTACAGACAAAAACTGGAGCCCCGTCTGTTGTTTTGACACCTCCTTTACAACAACCGCCCACACTACACCACATTTCCACCCCAATTATGGGAATCTGCGAAGTGTAGATGGATTTCATCGGTTCTGAAAGGGATTTGAAATTAACCGGTAATGTTGTCATTGATTTCTGAGTTTGTGAGGGTTTTTGTGGTAGTTGGAAGGGCATTTATTAGAAAGATCTCAATGCTTTGGAAAGCCTGTGCTTTAGGCGCTGCCGCCTAGAGATGAATCCCAACTTAAAATGCCTACGTAAAGTCTCAAATGATCAAAAACAGAGGACCGCAAGTTCTCAAGCCTAGACACCCGTGAACCTTGGACACCTACCGTACGCCCCCTGATAAACCGGGAATCCTCTGAACATCCATTGGAAATGCTTCGAAAATCTCTGGAATCTTGGACATCAGTTGAAATGGTTGGAATCCCCTCAAACCCTGTACACATCTTTTGTTTTTGTTGTTGTTGTTGTTGGTGTTGGTGTTGGTGTTGGTGTTGGTGTTGTTGTTCTTGTTCTTGTCGTCGTCGTCGTCGTCGTCGTCGGTCGTCGTCGGTCGTCGTCGTCGTGGTTGTGGTTTTTGTTGTTGTTGTTGTTGTGGTGGTGGTGGTGGTGGTCGTGGTGTTGATGTTGACGATGATGATGCTGGTGATGCTGATGATGCTGACGTCGTCGCTGCCAGAGTCGTGTTGGCAATCGTAGTGGTCACGGCATCCGTTTTCGTAATCGTTGCAGGTGGTGGGCTTTTGAAAACTGAACTCATTGTTTGTTGGACAGTACTACGACCAAGTCGTGGTGATGGTCCTGGTGGTGGTGTCAAAGAGTCTTCAAGACATGTATACATCCAAGTGAAGACAACGAACGTATGTGTATGGGAGTCCTGCATCTCGCCTCACAGCAATGTACGCTCCTAGCAGTCGGAGTCCCGCAAAATGTTGGGAGACACGATCATAAAAGAGGCCTGCCGTTGCTCCGTTTCTTCCTGCCTCTGGGGCCGCAGGACCTGGGGCAGTGCTTGATGCTTGCGGTATGGTTTTGAGGGTCGGCTTCTGGCCGCTGCAGCTGGATACTGAGCAAAGACGCTCCATCAAATGGTTAGGTAGGCAAGGGCAAGCATCTAGAAAGTCGCATCAGTGGATTGGAGATGTACAGTTCATATTTGAGGGCCGGGAAGCCGTCGTTGAACATGTAGGCATCATATTGGGGGTTCCGTGTGTACAGTGTTGCAAAGGACTTGTCTGCGAATTCGACTGGGGGGTCGCTGCAGCTGTTGTCCATCGAGGCCGAAGACGGTCGAGTGGAAGTCAATTTTAGTGTTGACATGACAGCAACTATTGCCATTGTTGTCCTTGAAGGGCTGCCCATCATTGCGTGCGTGCGTGTGTGTGTGTGTGTGTTGTACCGGGATGACAAGATGTGTCAGAAGAAGGGATTGCATCTGCTGTCACTAATGCTTGGCCGTGCTCTAGTGACCTTTTTCGGAGCTGTTGACTGGTGCTAAGACAAACCTAAGGCAGTGAGACACCTGCGGCGCAGCTACAAAAGCTGCGTCTCGTCTTGAATGGTCATGCACGAGATCTGACAGGTCGTGAGTGTGCAGTGATGGCTCCGTGAGGCTTCGTTGACCGTGAACGTCGCCTGGTCATTGGCACTGAGTGTGCTGTGGCAGCCGAGGCGAGATGAAATGGGAGTTCATGATTCAATTTAGCGACGTGTTTCAACGAATGTTACTCGTAGCTTGCGATAAGAGCTCAAGGCTACCATTACCAAGTTTGTTCCGGTTTCCTGAACTCGTTCTATGCCCCGTGTAGCTCGGCAGCAACAAGCGTTAGGAACCCCTGTTGCTGCTTCCACAGGCCATGTCAGAGACACCAGATCTTTCACTCGGAGACATGGTGCTGCAACCAGGCTTGCACTGTGCCGTCCATGTCAGATGACAGAAGCAAATCGAAGCCATCAAGCCTCAGCCTGCCCCACGAAAGGGGCAGAGTAGTGTGTGACCGTTTCGTGGGTGCTAGTGACTGTTAGTGCTCGATTTGTGGTCTTGAAGGTTCCTTTGATGAACCAGAATTAAATGATTTAAATTAAAAGTCTGATCCGGTTCTATGGTATGTTATATGGATGAATCATAGATAGTCTCAATCTCTTCGTATGAATGCGTATCGTACTGACTGTATGCTGCATTTGCAATTGGACATACTCTACCACTATTGCATCAAACCTGTACTCTCCGCTGTAGCCTGGCATATGATCCTGCACCATCCTATACCCCAGTCCTCGGAAGCCGGAAGGCCGCGTCAGCTGGGCAACGAGCAAAAAGATGCGAAAGAACCCGTAACCACAAGCCCGAAAGCCCAAGCAATAAAAACCCAAATCCCGAAAGCCCCATGCCCCAACCTGCCTGTAGAGCCTTCAACCCCTTAAGCTAGTGTGAGCTCATGCTGTGAGGTATAGTCCGCTAGTCGCGCACAAGACACAAACGATCTACCAAGGCGCAGCCGCGGGGCTGAGGGTTCGGAAAGGACTTTTACGACAAGACTTTGGGGATTGGGGTTTCGATGGTGCTGTTTCTAGGGCTTCAGACTTTTCTAGTACAGCGTGGTTTTAGGGTGTAGGTCAGTGCAGGTGCTTGGGGTTTTAGTATTGTGGTTTTAGGATTTTAGGACGTTTTCGGCTGTTGAAGGATTTAGTGTTGGTGTTCAGGCGTCAGGCAAGTTTTTTACCCTTCAACCTTGTAGTCATGGTTTGAGGCTGCATATTGCATTTCTGTCACTTCGCGGCTGCGGCAACCTTCCGCCTAATTCTGCAAGAAACAGAACAGCTCCTTGCACAGGTGGAGCTGCGATTTTTCTTGAATGCTTACGGCATTTGCTTTCGGTATTGGGTATTAGAAGATGGGATCTTTAAAGCCTGACCTGCTTGCTGAATTGGTCCCCAGTAGTTGTGCTCCAGCTTCCCTCACAGCTTCAATAGTGAACATCCTCAGTTCGAAATGGGTCGCATCACCCTCGCCCAAGGTGAGCGCACGGGCTATCTTGGAAGCCTTTACGATCCAGAGCTGCTGACTCGCTGGGTGCGCCAGGCGAGACACACATAGGCGAAGCATTCTGACAAGGGAACACCGTGGCATTGCTTCGCAAGCTTGTTGGAGGAGCCGGTACCCTCTCAAGCGGATCCAGAGAGATATCGAAACTCGGATGCAAGCCTGGCAACACATCGCTTGTTTCACGTCGAGCTCCAGAGACCTGCAGGCGGATGTTTCTTTGCGCATGTCGGGGTGCCACAAGGCCGTCAGGCTCAAGACTAGTGTAGCTAAAACTTCCGAAAAAGGATATGCCGAGTTCTCCGCAAGACTGGTGCGGACGCCATGCCACCTCTGGTGATTCGCTGTGCCAACTTCAAGAGGAAGGCCGCATGCTCAGATTCAGGAGCGCAAGCAATCCAATTGCTTCTGCGCAGGCTGGAAGCAATCTTGGGATCACAAGTCCCGTCACGAGGAAGGCCGGGCATGTCCTGAAGGGTAGCGCGGTGATGTTATAGCCACAAAGCGGACGAGGGCCGTGTACTCACCAGAAAGTGGGTACGGAAGCCGTGTTGAGTCTCTGCCTTTGATGATTCGGCGTAATGTGCATGCAGGCTGGAACCAGGCACACGGCAACATGGGCAACAGGCGTGATCCAGGCTGTCTCGTCTGAGGGCGGAATAAGGCGGATTGACTGATCCGCGCATGGAGCAAATCACTTTGGCGACACTTTGGTGAATAAGCTCAGGCCACCTTCAAGACGAAGGCCGCGCGCTTAAATTCAGAGTTACCGCTTGGTTTCGGAGCGCGTGCACTCCAGCTATGACTGCGCAGGCTGGAAGGATTGCAATCTTGGGATCACAAGTCCCGTCACGAGGAAGGCCGGGCATGTGCTGAAGGGTCGCGCGGTAATGTCAGCCACAAAGCGGATGAGGGCCGTGTACTCACCAGAAAGTG